CCACAACTCTTAGCGGCACAAGAGGAAGAGATGCTCTTTTGGATAGCTGCCCAGTGCGCACTGCCCCAAATACCACTGTAAATGCCGCCAGTGTGAACACGCTATTGCACAGGCAGCTGACAGTGTGAACACACAACAGCGGTTTCCCTTCAGTGCTCTCTGAGTGGTGCTGTAACTGCCAGCGATGTAACTCTGCCAGTATAGACTACCCTCAGTGTCACCCCTAAATACAAGGTGGAACAGCTTGTTTAGCATAAGTAGTTAACAGATTTCAAGAGACCATTCAAGGTGAAGTTGCCAGTTAACACCTCTTCAGTCATAGGTGGGAAAGGAGAAAAAGAAAAGCTGAGAGCCAGTCTGTTATTGATTGTTGTAATGAGCCATAAATCTAAGTGTCTTTATTCAGTCCATGGTTTTTAGTATCTAGCAGTTACGAATTTAAGCTCCCAGGCTCATCTCTTGCAGGTTTCCTTTGAGGATGAGAACTGAGAAGTCAGATATAGAGTGCTTTGTGAAAAGTATTCACTCACAGGTGAGATGGTGTTTTTGGCCTGGTCTACACTAGAAAATTAAGTCGATGTAACTACATCACTCAGATATGAAAAATCCACACCCCTGGACAATGTAGTTAAGCCGACCTAACCCTCAGTATAGAGAGCACTAGGTTGAAGGAAGAATTCTTCCATCCACCTAACTACTGCTGCTTAGAGAGGTAGATTGCCGACAGTCCTACAATGATGGGAGAACCCCTCCCGTCAGAATAGGTGGTGTCTACACTGAAGCTCTACAGCGGTGCTGCTGTGGCATTTCAAGTGTAGACAGGCCCTTTGTGTAGTGATTGTCTTGTTTCACCCACATAATTATTAGGGCATTTAATGCACTGAATGAGGCACAACACGTTTTGTGATAGGCATGTGTAGGATCCATGGCTCTGGAAAGGTATGTTGGGGGTGTGTGGATCATTGTAGCAGTGGAGATACGTCTACAAGTTTTACATCTGTTGTTCTGGTGCTGCTTTGAGGTGGTGCGTCCTGGCCTGTGGGGAGCTTGCTTCTGATGATGAGGCTGGGGGCGTTGTTTGAAGGCCAGAAGAGGGAGTTCAGGAAAGATTTCTTTCAGGATATGGTCTCCATCAGATATCTTGGCACGGGGTTAGACTAGATGATTCTTGTGGTCTCTTCTGACCCTATGGTTCTATGATTCTAAGTATGGATTGTAATTGTTTAATGGTACTCTATATAGGTTCCAAGATGATATGGTCGGTGATGACTACGAGGGGGTTTTGTCTCCATACTGAAGCAGGTTGTCTTGGGGTATTTGAGTGGCCTGTTCCATGATACAATCTACTTCTCTGGTAGAGTGTCTTTGGTGAAGGCATTTTTAAGTGTGTTAAGGTGTGTACCCCAGACTTGCTCCTCAGAGCATATCTGAGTTCCTGGCTAAGTGAGTTTCTTGGTGAGTTTGGGATGGTTACTGGGTCTGTGAAGGTAGGTGTGGCGATTCATGGGTATTTTGTGGAATTTTTTGGAAACTGCATGGCATGAAATTGTTTATTAACAAATGGGTTTACGTTGCAATTTAACGTCTTTGTTCTGCAAAAATTAAGACATTATAATATGTCTTTTTTTTTTAATCTTAGTCTTTCCATGGTTTGGCTTGGATATTGGAGGAACCTTGGTCAAGCTTGTTTATTTTGAACCAAAAGACATCACTGCTGAGGAGGAGGAGGAGGAAGTGGAAAATCTTAAAAGTATCCGAAAATACCTGACCTCAAATGTAGCCTATGGATCTACAGGCATTCGGGATGTGCACCTGGAACTAAAGGACCTTACCCTGTGTGGACGTAAAGGCAATCTGCACTTTATACGCTTTCCTACTCATGACATGCCTGCTTTTATTCAAATGGGCAGCGAAAAACACTTCTCAAGTCTCCACACTACCTTATGTGCCACGGGAGGTGGAGCGTACAAATTTGAGCAGGACTTTCGCACAGTATGCATTTTTGGCTTCTATACACTTAGGATATGGTAGTGAAGTCACATGTAACTTGAAAGATTGTAAGATAAAGGCTGAAAGTAATTTCAGTCTCTGACTTAGCCTCTGAAAAGTCTAGTGTCCTAAATTGAGCTCAAGTTTAATATGAGCTAGAAATAAGCCCACATCTGTAAACACAGATACTTACTATTTTAAGATTGTGCAGCTTTGCTGTGACTCCAGAATTATTCATTTTAATTTCCATTAAATATGCCTTTACAAGACTTGAATAGTCATTAGACTTAAGTCAACTCTGCAACCTACCTTAACTTTATTTTTTCCATTGCTGTCTATTCATGAGCTTAATATTTGTTTCATACTTGCCTGGTTGATTAAGGTTCATTTATAACTTGTATTGCTGTGATTTGGTTAAGATTCCACTGAACTAAGTGGTAAATTAACTGCAAATGACTTGCTTGTCTAGATTCATCGTAAGAAGGTGTGTTTCATTATAAGTGGAATACAGGTGTAGATAATATATTTATATCTTGATTGTATGTTAACTTTTTCAAGCCCAGGTTATACAATATATTTATCAAACAACCAAAGGTTGAGGGATCTGGTGCAGGTCTAGTGGTGCAGTGACCCAACTAAAAGATTATTATGCTGCTCCCTCCTGACTCTTGTGAGGAAGTCAGCATTTTCTCTTTTTCCCTTGACCCCTTATCTTTTCCGGATGTTGTGAGGCACTCTGGGCCTGATCCAAAACCCAAGTGAAGTTTTGGGGAAATCTTTCCATTGGCATTGGCTCAGGACTTCTATTACTTCCTACCCAATGGGGTGAGGATGTGCATGAACCTCGTTAACACATTGCTAAGCACTACACTTAAATAGCACAGGGAGCATTCCACTCTGCACAATACAGATATATGTGGGAGAGTAGGAACCCTCTTGTGACCTGCACTCCACTCCTTCTGCCACCATTCAGAGCAAGGAGGGGTACTGAATGCACTGGTGAGTGCATTTTTCTAGCCCTGAGTATAAAAACATTAGATCTCTTTGGCTCTTTCATAATTTTATTTCCTTTAACAGATGGGCGACCTTCAACTTTGCAAACTAGATGAACTTGACTGCCTTATTAAAGGAGTTTTGTACATTGACTCAGTTGGATTCAATGGACATTCAGAGTGCTACTACTTTGAAAACCCAACTGATTGTGAAAAATGTCAGAAGCTCCCATTCAACTTGGAGAATCCATATCCTCTCCTCTTGGTGAACATTGGCTCAGGGGTCAGCATCTTGGCTGTGTATTCCAAAGACAATTATAAGCGTGTAACTGGGACCAGGTAAGATCTATAAATAATGTGATTACCTTTAAGAGCATAGTCTTGGAGCTTGGCCTATACTCATGTGGTAAAAGAGAGATCACATCTTCATGGACAAGTTGCTTTAAAAATGACTCTTGTCTGACCAAGCTCTCTGTTGCAACATAATATAGTACCTCCTCATTCCCACCCCCAGCAAGCAAAGGTCTTTTTTTGTGGTCTGGATGGCATGTCACAATCGTCTCCTTACCACAGTCGGCCTTTTCAGAAAGGCCAGTTCTTGACCTGTTCATCTTTCTACTACTGCAAGAAACTTGTTTTTTTTTTGTTTTTTTTTGTCAGAGGAGTGTAAATCATATTTTGGAAACAACTCAGGTATGCTCAAATAGATGAATTTTTAATGTGATCGCTTTAATTCCATTATTCAGGGTTTGGATTTTGACTTTTAAAAGATGTACTACCCATTATGAATGGTGGGATGGTGTTCATAGTTGTAGTCAGGTCTGAAAGAATAATATAGCCACCTATTATACAGCAGAGCCCAAGAGATCTGTGCATGTGAACTTTCTTGGACTTCAGGAATATTGTTGTTACAAAAAAAGTACAGACTAGGAGTGCGCAGTGCACCTCAGGAAGGAAAGTTTTATTATGCGTCTTTGCCAGCATGTGTATGCAATGATTCAGCAGAACGTACTTTTTCCAGGCTTTGAACAATTAGACCCAAGTTCTGCAGTGAATTCCATATGGGCATACCCTTGCAGATGCATGGAGCTCATTACAGGTTGACATCTTACATTGTACATAGCTGTTTATTCAACACTGTGTAGTGAATATTGTAAGCAGAGAAAAACCACTTCTGGTTTAAGCAATAACTCTGGAGGAGGATGTGAAGCGGTGGGTTTATCTGTGGGCTGTGAAGTTACCCTAAGGAAGCAGATTTAAATGTGGTAAGAAAGGAGACTTAAATCGAATTCCTCTTTCTAGATTTCCAACGAGAAGGAAATTAAAAAATGCTTGGCAGCCCAGCTAATTCTTGGTATTCAGAGGAGTTTAGCTACATACCTTAATTAAAAAACAAAAACCAGTCCTTTTTTCTCCCTCTCTTCAAAATGAGAGGTAGAAAATATTGCTTTTGTTTTGTTTTGTTAGTCTTGGAGGAGGAACGTTTTTTGGTCTCTGCTGTCTTCTTACTGGCTGCTCCACCTTTGAAGAGGCTCTTGAAATGGCATCCCTTGGAGATAGCACGAAAGTGGATAAACTGGTGCGGGACATCTATGGAGGGGATTATGAGAGATTTGGACTGCCAGGCTGGGCTGTAGCATCCAGGTAAAGATATATCTTGGGTTTTTGAGGATGCGTATAATGTGCCTGAATTAAAAACTGGGGCAGCAAGGGTATATTTTTAGCACCTCTAGGTGTTGTGTGGTGTTTTTGTGTGGAACTGGCACTGCGGAGAGTAGACTCACCGTTCATGCACCCCCCATGGCTGGGCATAGCATAGTAGGCTCTCTTCTCTAGCGCACCCTACTGACAGCCTCTCCAGCCCTGCATTGGTGTGCTACCTCTTGTAACTCATGTAACTTTTGGTTACCCTGGAAGGAGTGGCACTAAAAGTCCAACAAACAATAGTACCATGACCTCAAGTTCTGACTCAGTAGTCCTTCCACTCCCTGGTCTCTGGAGTCTTTACACTACTTTTTCTGGTGGCCAGAAGGGGAATCCAGGTCTTTCCTCTTCTCTGGGTTCCATCCTAGAGACGCTGCATTAAGCAGGCAAGGTCTGTCTACTCAAGGCCCATTCTTCCACCCTAGGCTACTTCTTGCCTTGGACATCTGCAGGCCTCCCCACAAGTCAATTCCTGGGCTCCCTGTTCACCTGTGTTTTTCTCAGGCTCCCTAGGGTCTTGTAATTCACCCTTACTTCAGGGCTGTGGCCCTGGAATTCTCCAACAAATCCCAAACCAAAAGGACAAACTTAAAGCATTTCTGCCCTTCCCAGACGTGAACTTTATTCCTTCCCAGGTCTGCCCCAATACTGTGCTCCTCAAATGAACACTATCACCCAAGGGCATCCTCCTGGAGTCTTGTCTGTTTTGAAACCCACCATAGGAGCTAACTCTCCTCCTGTGGTTTTTCCTGATTCTCTTGCTTCACCTCAGTCAGACCATTGTCCCATTCTGGGTCTCTTTCTAACTGATCTTTCTCTGTCCTTTTAAGGAAACCTGACTAGTTTCCAGTGGACCTGCTAATTCACCTAGTTAACCTTGAATCAAGCTCTCAGGCTCTTGTTAACCCAGTACCGTTGTGGGGTTTATATCCCATCACAATAACATAAGTCTATTTTAGACAAACATTTAATTGTGATTCATTGTTACTGGATTTTAGTAATAGAGGCTGTAACTATATGATTCATTTTGGAATTGCGACATTGCTACATGCTGATGCTGCATAGTTTCCTGTAAATGGACACTTAACTCTAGAATTTTTTGCACAGCTTTGGGAATATGATGAGCAAGGAGAAGAGAGAGTCTGTCAGTAAAGAGGACCTGGCAAGAGCAACTTTAATAACCATCACCAATAACATTGGCTCCATAGCACGGATGTGTGCACTTAATGAGGTATTGAGAAATATGGAAAACCGCATATAACCTCTTTTTTTTCCGAGACACACATTTAAATCAATTACTCATGTGTGCTACCAGTCTGCAGTATCTTGTTTTCAATTCTGTAGAAGCACCTTCATGCATACCTGTCCAGATGCTCCAGTTTAAATTGTAACTGTAGATTTCCCTTCCTCACCTGCCCATCTGGTCTAGTCAAATAGTAGCTCTACAATTCAAAGCACTGTAAAAAAATAAATAAATAAATAACGTGATGTGTTGTCATTTATTGGTCCAGTCAATTTACCTTATTATTCAGGAGGTAAATTGCTTTTCTGGGAGAGTTGCGGGAACTGTGGAACAGCAGTGTGTGTTAGTCTCCTGGAACTGCAGGGAGAAAGTGATCCGCAATATCCTGTTTCTTCTCAGGCACAAAATTATCATATCTTGTCACTGCTAGGAATCCAGACTTAGTGCATGAGTGAAAAGAGAACTATACCTGCTGAAAGAGAACCTTCTGTGTGTCATTTGTTCTAGTTACTCTTGCATTTTTAAGCTAACACAATGCTCATGGGCCTTAGTGGGGCTGTCTCTCTGAGCTCTGTGCTTTCAGCTTCTTTACAGTGCTGCCTTGTTGCATTCATGTCAAGCAGCATTGTACAGGGCTATGAAAGAACTGAGACCCGTTCTTCACTTTATTTTGGGGCTGTTTGAACAGGATTGAATCCATCAGGTTGAAGCATACTTCTAACTTTCATAGTTCTTATCAGCATACAGTTAGTATTCTGCACTAGTGCAAGGGCAATAAATGTACAAGGCACTATCTAAAATGGCAGGCAAAAACAGTCCTGCCCATGGTATGTTAGTTCCCGTTGTCCCACCATATGTCCCGCTCTCCCCCCCCCTCACTCTTATAATCAAGTTACCCTTGGAAGTGCATTTTCCTGAGGGTTACCTCTAGTTAAAGTTCTTCCCACTGTGAGGATGGAGAGTGTTCTGATGAAAAAGATTCCATGTTGTTGGTTAAAATGCAGCTAGATCTGTTCCTGCCCCTCTCCATTGCCAAAGAATGGCCACTTGACTTGTGATTGCTAATCAGCTTTGATGACACCTGATTGGCCTTTGTCTTTGAGAAACAGGTTTACCCCCTTCCCAGAGTTGTCTGGTAAACACATTTCAGTCATAATTTCAGTTTTATGTTCATAACTTTACATATAACGTTGCTACACACATATCACCATGATATTCTTGACCAATGAGTTACTCGTTTTCAAATGATACCTCACAAAGCATATTTTGTATAAAGATTATTACAGTGGTATATAGGGTGTAACTACAGGGGTGCATTCCGTCACAGAAGAATGCATGGAAAAACAGGTTTGAAGGACCAGAGATGGTGCTCAATCATGATGCTTCTGTCACTTTGGAACCTTAAAATTCTATATTGATTGAAGGACCAAGAAGCTGCAGAGCTCCCTGGACCAAGTAGGGAAAACCTCTTCTTTTCAGGAGTATAGTTATTAAAATGTGGATGGAGATTGTTTAAACCCAAAATGTCACTTTGCAGAATCAGTGATGATGTATCTGCTTCACTGCATAAGGTCACTTAAACATTTGGATTGTTCTGATTATTGGTTTCTTGAACTTCATGCTGGTAGTGGGTGTGGAAGAAGCATGCTCTGCACTTCTAGTTTGTGGGACAAAAGGCAGTATAGGAGGAGGAGTACCCTTCACTGTTCAACAGTATCCCTTTAGCCCAGTGGTTCTCAAACTTTAGCAAACAGAGGACCCCCATTTTGATTTAAATTTTTTGGGGGACCCCCCAAGCCTCCCGGCTCAGCCCTTGCCCTGCCCCTTCCCTGGGGCCGTGCCCCTGCCCCACCCCTTCTCCGAGGCCCCGCCCCATGCTCACTCCATCTCCCCTCCCTCCATGGCTCCCTCTCCCCCACCCTCACTCACTTTCACCAAGCTGGGGCAGGGAATTGGGATGAAGGAGGGGGTGCAGGCTCTGGGAGGGAGTTTGGGTGTGGACTTTGGGCTGGGGCAGGGGGTTGGGGTGCGGGAGAGGGTGAGGTGTGCGGTGCTTACCTCGGGACGCTCCCAAAAGCGACCAGCACATCCCTCTGGCTGCAGCTCCTAGGCAGAGGGCCACAGGGTCTCTGTGTGCTGCCCCTGTCCACAGGCACCGCCCCTGCACCTCCTATTGCCCTCAGTTCCCGGCCTTTGGGAGCTGCGGAGTCAGCTGGGCGGAGACAGTGCATAGAGACCTCCCCTGCGGGACGTGCCCACCGCTTCCGGGAGCAGTGGGGAATCAGGACAGGTAAGCCTGTTCCCCAGCATGCTGGAGGCACACCTAGGAGGGAGGGGGAGGAGTTTCTCAGCGGGGCCGCGAACCCCAGTTTCAGAAACGCTGCTCTAGCCAGCTGAAGGACTGGCATTGTTATTCCACAAGGGGTTCCTTTCAGACTCGTTAGTCAGAAAACTTATGGCTGCAACTCAGGGTCTAGAGAGTGGGTATAAAGGGGTGTGAAAGGGACTCTGGAAAAGAACCTACCCTGAAATAACCTGTATGCTGTGCTTTTAACATAAACTTTATCAACACCCCTTATATTTGGATGTATTTTTGAGATCCTATTTGACACTTTTCAGCAATCACTGTTCATCCTCTCCCCTTCAATGCATTCTCTGTCTCCTCTCTTCCAGTATCTTGAACACCTCAACATGCCTCTTGATTTCATCCCACTCTAGTTCCTCTTGTTCCACCACACTGCTGCAAGACCCCAGTCTGCTTAGTATTTCATTCTTTCTCAGTTGCAGTTCTGTTCTGTTGGATTTGATTGGAGTTTTCCTAATGAGGATCTAAATACAGAAAGCTGCAAATACATCACGAGTCTTATCTCAGCCCCAGACACCCCTCCCCTCACTCAGACAACCATCCTCCATCTAACCATCCTTTCTTGCATATCTGCTCTCTCCCTTGGTATGAATAAAGGAATAAAGAGTGCTGTGAAGTTCAGTAGTCAGACTTTATTCAATTTAACAAATACTGGCAACTTTAACTTTGCTTTTAGCTGACTTTTATTGCTCTCAGTCAGAAGCCATATTTGAAAAGCTTCATGTATCCTCATAATTAAATGCGAGAAGTGTAATATATGGATTCTCTTTCGTTGTTGTGAAGATGAAATGGAATTCAGCTTAAAGATTCTCATATCATTTTTTTTATGTTTGCAGAACATTAATCGGGTGGTTTTTGTTGGCAATTTCTTGCGGATCAATACAATCTCAATGAGGCTTCTAGCATATGCTTTGGATTATTGGTCCAAGGGGCAGTTGAAGGCACTTTTCTTGGAACATGAGGTGAAGTTACTGTTTAAATCCATTTTACCTTGTCAAAACTGAAGACATTTTTATTTAAAATTATCTGATTATAACATACCAATGTTGAGTTTCTTGGCATTGACAACATACATTTTGTAGCCAGTTCTATGCATTTGCCACAGTTATTGCAAAACTCCCAGTTCTAGGACGCTATCCATGTAACATTTATTGTTTCAGAAGTTAAAAATGCAAACTTTATCTACTTTATTGCTAGCTTAGTAATAGCTTGCCAACTTCTACTTCTGAAAACTTTTCACCTGCATATCTAACAATGTAATTAAAAAAAAAAATTGTTTCCTTGTATAAACAGTAAAACTAGGAGTTGTAATAACTTTACATACAGTACTTGGGAATAGTTTTCTTCTGTTTTCTTTTATAACCAGTATTTTGAAATGGTATTAATATTTTTAATATTAGTCTTAGTATTCTTGTCAAACATATTTAAACCTTGAATCTGTTTAATAGAAACTCTTGCCTTTTTCTTTATAGGGTTATTTTGGAGCAGTTGGTGCTTTTCTGGAGCTTTTGAATTCAGCCTGAGTCATTACAGATCCTGCACATTGGATATAAGTTGCAGGAGCTTCTACCCTATTGGAACTCCTACATGTATTTAGCTTTTTTTAAAGCATCTGTTAAGTGACTATTACAGTAATTGTACATGATTTAATCATTGCGGAAAAGGAAAGGACAAATGAATTTTTTGTAAACAGCTAAAATTAATCCTGAATCTTAATGTAGATTAGTTAATAATAAGAAATATATATCTTCTGAGCAGCAGTTTTTATTATAATCTGCTACATGTTTTGAGATAGTGTGGGAAGGTGCGAGATAGAGAGAGCATAAGTCTCACATTAAACTATCCTGTTCTCAAAAGACATTTTTTTTTAAAATGCCAAGTGTCTACAGTGGTAACTATTTTATATTTCACTTGCAATGTTTGTATATATGGGATTGAAGGACTTTAAGTATTTGTGGTAGTATTGAATAGTGTATTGTTTATGTATGACAATTATCAAAACAGAACCCAGAAATATAAAAACTAACCTTTTTCCAAAAGTCCTTGTTTGTTGCCCTCTTCTGAACACTATAGTGGCCTGTAAAAACATCATCATACAATCAGTAATGGCTTATTTTCTGGCAAGACCGTCACTGTGCATATACACTGTTGGAGAAACAAGAAGTAAGGATTAAATCTTTTTTGGGTCTTGCTTTCTGTAAAACTGCGTAGCAACTTCCTGTCATCTGCACCCTGGTGACTGCTGACCAGACCTCTGGATGTGTGGGTCAAACCCTTATAATGTAGTTTTAGCAACATGCAGTAGATGAAATCCACTAAGAGTAAATTTAAGAATATTTATAACTAGTGTGTGTTGCTTTTTCTTTTCTTTTTTTTCTTTTTTAAAGAATTGTATGGAACTGTACCAAAAATGATGATAATGCTATTCCTGATATACTCAGGCTGTTCTGTATAATTTAATAGTCTATAGATGTTTGTTGTTAGCTAGTTACTAAACATAATCCAGATTCAGGAGGAAAATCAATCTTCTCTCCACATCAGCATTCGTGTCTCTGTCTGTCTGTCTCCCTGGTGTGTGCATTCCTGCAGAACCCAAACACTTCATTGCCATGGTTTCAGATTCTCTAAGACATTGACCTTTCAAGATGTTAAACTAGAAGATGTTGTGTGGGAGAGCATTCCTTCCATGCACAATAGGTTAAGCAACATTGGCAATAGGCTACCCTTAAAAGAGCTGTGTTTGAAACAAGCATGTGGCTCATAAACCAGCCTTTTGTCTGGAGTAATTGTCAGGTTCCAGGGTCCCTCCCGTCCTTGGAGCTATAGTCTTGGGCTACTAATCTGAACAAAATGTCCACTGGGAGGGTATAAATTCTCTCCCTCCTCTATGGATGATACTAGATATTTCAGTATAACTTGACTGCAGGGGGTTGGAAGCAGTTGCTCCTTAAAAGCTACTACATCTTAACTAGTTAACTGATGTTAACTAGTGTTGTAGATTGTCATAGCTCCACTTGATTTCAGTTTACACCAGATGGGGAATCTGCCCCAGAGTCTTTAAATAACTTGTCCTTCTTAGGATTTAGTAGATTAATGCATCAGCCTCTTTATATTTGGGTTCATATTTGCAGTGGATCTCAAATGAAAGCTCTTTGGTTTTATATAGGCCCTGGTGGATATTTTTTGATCACGGCATAAAAAAACCACACGAGTCTGATAGTTTGACATGATTAGCAATCCTGAGCTGAAATAGTTCAGAATTAAGGTGGTGTAGCAGAGCTGTGGGATGGGTGGGAGCTGTTTTAGGGCTTGAGCCTGCAATCTGCAGACATCACCTGCAAGGTACTGTGTGCCCCTTTACCTCCCACTGCAATCTCAGAGAGCTGAGTGCTCACAGGAGGTGCTCTTCACCTTGCAGGATTGGTCCCACAGTGTGTCTGTACCTCGAGCTTGGGATGAGAAATAACTGGGAATTGAGAGTGCCTGGGTTTTTCACAAGATCAGGTCATTTGTTTTATTTACTAAAGGCAGTGCTGTTAGCTGCATTGCTGTATGAAGCACTCAATGCCACCAGGTTTGTTGTAAAATAATGTATTTTTAGAACTTATATTCAAGAAATTCCAGCCTCAGCAATCTAGTTGCAGACAAAATTGCTGATCGAACATCGGATGAGAGAATCTGGAACCTCTAAACCTCTTCAGCTATATTGGTATATATGAAGGACTGTACCATTCAAAAAAAGAACAGGAGTACTTGTGGCACCTTAGAGACTAACATATTTATTTGAGCATAAGCTTTCATGGGCTACAGCCCACTTCTTCGGATGCATAGAGTGGAACATATATTGAGGATATATATATATATATATACACACACACATACAGAGAGCATGAACAGGTGGGAGTTGTCTTACCAACTCTGAGAGGCCAATTAAGTAAGAGGAAAAAACTTTTGAAGTGATAATCAAGATAGCCAAGTACAGACAGTTTGATAAGAAGTGTGAGAATACTTGCATGTACCATTCAAGAGATTCAGCTGCTAGTTCTCCACTGTACACCAGAGTCCTTTTCACCTTTTCTGCAAAGAAGGCAATCTTCCCAAATAAGTGGAAAAATAAGTAACTACTTAGGCCTTGGCTACACTTACCTGGTAGTTCGGCGGCGAGCAATCGAACTTCTGGGTTCGACTTATCGTGTCTAGTCTGGACGCGATAAGTCGAACCCGGAAGTGCTCGCCATCGACTGCGGTACTCCAGCTCGGCGAGAGGAGTACCGCGGAGTCGACGGGGGAGCCTGCCTGCCGAGTGTGGACCAAGGTAAGTTCGAACTAAGGTACTTCGAACTTCAGCTACGTTATTCACGTAGCTGAAGTTCCGTACCTTAGTTCGAATTAGGGGGTTAGTGTAGACCTGGCCTTAGAAAAATTGCATTAGCTTTTTAAGTGTAATATTGCTAACTTAGATCATGCAGTGATCTGCGTTCAAAATTTGAATTAAGCTACTTTTGGAGGTGCACGTTTGAGGAGACAGTATTTCATGACTAGGATCTCGGATTTGTGCTTTATCATGATATCCCACTAAAGATATAATAATACCAGATTGTTTTAGAAATAAGTCAGACTTCCTAACGTACCTAGTTCCAAGTGTTGTTGTAGAACTTAGATTGTAAGCTCCTTGGGGCAAGGGCTTTTTCTATGCCATGTTCTGTATAATGCTCAGCAAATTTTTGATGCTCAGTGAATTTAGACAACTTCTGCAATTTGCTTGGTCGCACAACCTCAACTGGAATTTCAGTCCTTGCTTCAGCTTTGGTCTAGAATCCAGATGAAATTCTTATTGCCTTTAACTGTTAGGTTGAAGTCTACCCCTGTGCAGACCCTTTGTACCATTGAACCCCTTATTTTGAGGTATAAGATGCAGTGAGCGAGTGTGGGCCCTCTGTGCATTGCTTAATGTGAGATTTAAATGATGCAAAGGGCGTCATTCGGAATCCCTGTGCAGAGGTGAATTCATACACGTAGTGTTTTAGCAGCAGGAACAAAGGACCTACACTGGACCTCTCCGAGATTAACGTACATACATGTTGGTTACAGGAAAGTAGCTTATCTTTCTATAGCAATTACTTGAAGCATGGTCATGAGTTAAAGGATGATGAAAGAGGCTATGTGACAATGCTTTCATATGGTCTTGTATACAAATGGAACCTGTGGAGGGAAGAGAAATGTACATAAATTCTGCAGTAAGCTATCTGGCTTAAAACCAGGTCATGTGCCATGTTGCAGCTGTGCACATGCCAAACCTTGGAACTGAAACTGGAGTAAATAAGCCATCTAGTGTCTTGGAATCTCCCCTTTCTTGGCTGCTTTTCTCCCATTCACTCCACATACATGTATATGTAAGATGTCTTCTTTAGTGGGTGGGTTTTTGTTTTTGTTTTTTAAAATAGAGCCTGAAGTTGTGGTTTGTGATGTCTTTGCTTAAACACGGAACTCACCTATGTATTATTATTACATTTTTTGGGGTAAAACTGTTTTAAAATTTTCTTTGGATAAAATATTAGTTGTTTTTTATATACTGGAGACTCTCATTCTTCTGTTGCCTATTTAAAGTCTCTCGTCCTGCTCAACAAATGAACCAATCTGAATAATTATCTAGAGCAGGGGTGGCCAACCTGTGGGTCCAGAGCCACATGTGGCTCTTCAGAAGTTAATATGTGGCTCCTTGTATAGGCACCGACTCTGGGGCTGGAGCTACAGGTGCCAACTTTCCAATGTGCCGGGGGGTGCTCACTGCTCAACTCCTGGCTCTGCCACAGGCCCTGCCCCCACTCCACCCCTTTCCCTCCCCTCCCATGAGCCTGCAGTGCCTCACTCCTCCCACTTCCCCTTGGAGTCTCCTCCATGCCACAAAACAGCTGATCGGGAGGTGCGGGGAGTGAAGGGGAGCCGCTGATCAGTGGCGCTGCCAGTGGGCGGGAGGCACTGGCAGCGGGATGGGGGAGCTCATGTGGGGCTGCTGACGTATTCCTGTGGCTCTTTGGCAATGTACATTGGTAAATTCTGGCTCCTTCTCAGGCTCAGGTTGGCCACCCCTGATCTACGGTACTAGGATGAGATGGATAGGTCTGACCTACTGAAAAGTTTTCTCCACATTTAACTCTATTTTGACACAGCTTTTTCTTTTTATGGGCTTGACTGTCATTAAGCCCTTTTAACTAAACACATACGTTTTGGTCATCATTGGAAATTAGCTATATTTGAAAGCAGGATACCTGGAGGAAAAGAATCCTATATTTACCCACTCCTTGTATTGAGAAGAGATTCCAAACAGTAGCTTCCTCAGTCTGAGTCATTGCTTTTAAAAATATATTCAAGGCAAATGACGTTGGCAGCATCTCCAAAAGGCAAGGCATAGAAAGAAGCTGTTTTTTGTTGTCACAGAATGTGCAATCTATTTCTGTCTTGGTGTGGGAGGTTTTAAAGCAGGTACCTTCTCGCCAAGTGTTGAGATAAATATAAACTCCTAAAATATTAAATTTAAATAAAACGCAGAGGCTAGTGTTATTCAAGATCCCTTTTCACCATTTCTTGATAAAACAATGCCTTTTCGTCTTTATTGTCATGGAGAAGCACTGATTGCTGGGATAACACAGCTGATCTAATTCTGCTTCCAGCATTCCTAGTTAATTGGTTTTGGGGAATATTTAAAGCGCTGGCTTGCTTAAAGGGTTAAGGCACCAATTCAGCAAAGCACTTAAGCATTGTGATTAAGCCCCATTGAATTTAGTGGGTCTTGATGTACTAGGGTGTTTTGCTGAATGGAGATGGACTTAAGCATGTGCTTTGCTGAATCTGGGTCTAACTCTGTACTTGCTTTTAAATCCCTATGTACTTCATACTTTAATGCTTTTTATTCAATGATATCAAAATATTTTGCAAACAGTAACTGGCTCACAACACCCTGGGGGCCAGTAATATTGGGTGTCTTTCTAAAAGATATGTGAGCTTGATGCAGGAATCACTTGGTGAAATTCTGTGATCTGTGTTGTGCAGGCATTAGACTGGATGAGCATAAATGATCCATTTTGTCCTTAAAATGTATGAAGGGTATTGTAGCCTCTGGAGGGGAACCAAAGCATCTCTTTAAGATGGGAAATGAAAAATATTCTACCAAATGGAAACTGCAGAAGTAATTTAGCTAGCCAGACTGTAACTGCTCGTAGTTGGCCAGGTTATGAGGTTTAATGCCCTCTACTATTTCATTAATATTGAATGAGGTATGAATGGTCTGTTTCTTTAGGGCTTCCTGTCTTACTGCTTGTTCTTATTTTTGTATTTTCTCCTGCCTACTAATTTGATAACTTTCATCAGGTGTGATGCCAAAAACGTAATCATTCCTATACCTCAAACCCCTGTTCCTTTGCAGCCGTGAGATGATTTTGTAAAACTAAACTCCTTTGGCTTCAAATATAATCAATATTGTTTTACGGCATTCTTAAGGGGGGGCGGGGGGAGAAGTATCATAATAAGTGAAATAATTCTC